ATTAGACTCTTTTTATAAATAAGAAAAAAAAAAAGAAATATACGATAATATAAAATACCGTAAAGCCGGTATTTATAGTCGATTCTTATATTTAAGAATCTTAAATAGTACAGTTTTAAGATATCATAAATCAATCACAAAGTCGTATTAGCATTTTCTGATGTTACTTAAGACGATCTTAAAATACACAAGAGCAGATTATGAATATCGGTCTAAGTATTCTTTTTAATACACGGAAAAAACAATTTTGTCATACAGAAAATAATTTTATTTGAATCATCAAATAATTTTTATATATATTTTAGGATACTCAAATTAATTGTTAGAATGTCAAAACTTCTTGCAGCATTTTTCATCATGCTCAAGTTTCCTATATCTAACTATTTTGATAATTCAATAAAATTATTTTTAAATCTTTATTTATATTTAAATTTTTAGATACTTTAGTAAAATTCTTTCCGTGTAAAAATAAAATAATTTTGTCATATTTACAATCCTTTGTTACGTTAATTAATATTCGTTATAATTACGATCGATATATTTGACAAGGATCTAGAAATGTCATCATAGAATAACATTCGCATTGCTGTTTTCTTCTACAGTATTATTTATCGACTTTGTTGTGGGGATCAGACGTATATTAGGTTTTGGATTTGCAGTCCAACGAGGAAGATTAACTACGAACTTGTAAAAAGTTTCGCCTGGGCATTCCGTGTCTCGCACTTGTCGATGACCAATCACATTGTAATTCTTCTTTATCTTGCCGAATAAAACTCCATAAGCTATCAGCTTGTTCAACGCCTTCAGGGCGGCCTCGTTCGGAAGAAAGTCTACGAAATCATATTTTACGTGCGTCGTAATGATTTTTTTTGACGTAGAAGACGATATGATATCTCAAGGAAAATGCCTTATATTATGTTGTTTTTACATAAAAGATTAATTTTTTTTAATAAAGTCAAAACTTGAGATGACACTCTTGGACTTTTAAATGATAATTTATCTTCCATTTATACATGCAATTTAATATTTCTTAACTGTAGTACAAAAGAAACTGATATAAAAACAAGAATCATTTTTCAATAAGAAAAATTTGACAATCATTTTCAATGATTTTTTAAAAATTATTAATCTTTGTTCGATGGAATGTTATTTGATTTACGGAAAAAAATACTTTTGCTCAAGTATCTAAAAACTTGGCTAAATACAAATCTAGAAATAATTTTATTGGACTATTGAAATAATTATGTAGGACGTTTTGGCTGATTGCTAGAATGTCAAAATTGTTTTGCAGCATTACTCATTATGTTTAAGTATTTATCCTATACAATTATTTTAGTAGTTTAATAAAATTAATTTTAAAACTCTGTGTCAAGCTGAATTTTTTAAATGCTTCAGTAAAATCAGTCTTTCTGTGTATTATATCTACATATCTGACGAAATATCAATTATATTTATAATGCCTCAATTACCAGTGAAATCTCCTATGATGCATATGCCAATACTCTGGGTATTGTATCCAATTGCATGTGCGCCAGTATAATCCCAACCGCGACCCTCGTAAACGTTACCGTCTTCGCCAATGACGAAATTATATCCAATGTCCCACCAGCCTCGCTGATCCAGATGCAAATCTTGATAGGTTCTAACGATATCAGAACATGTCTCCTGATCCCGACAGTACTTAGGTATACCACCATGATGGATCACTACGTACGGTACTGGTTTTATTGGCATGATCTCGAAATTGAGATGTTTCCTGGCATTCCATTCCTTTCGGCTGACAATTCTTAGGCACTCTGAACACGGAGAATCTATTATAGATAAATTATTAGTAATAAATTATTTTCGAATTAAATTAATTCTTCATAAGATTTGAACAGTTTTAAGATACGGACAAAAAGATTAACATGTGTAAGCTGCTGTGCGCAATTGTTATTTAAATGCATTATGGATTCTTGATAATAATAACAATAATAACAACAATAACAATAACAACTATAATAATAATAATAATGATATAAAGAATTATGAATTTCTTGCATTATCATGTAGAACAAGTAACATAGAACTTGACGGATATACATTGGAGTCAGCTAACGAGTTAGCACGAACAAGCACGTTTTCAGCAATTAGTTGCGCAATTGCAAATATATTTCTATCGTGCAGAAATTATTTCGTCCTTGAGATACGATGATAAATTGCCCAATCAGATTCCCAAGTTGTAAAATACAATAATTTCGACTTAGACACGTCTCACAAATGTGGCGGAAAACTTTGGAAAAATACTAACTAGTCATCAAAGCGTTTTTGTCGCGAGGAATGCAAATTGTTTATTTACTCGCACGTTTTATCTCGAATAATTTTATTTTTTCTGAATATACGTCCAATCGCGCAAATCAATTTATTAACTACAATTAAAATTGTAACTTTAAAAAGAAAATTATACTTTCTTCTATACGAGCATATTGTAATAGTTTCGAAATATTGTAGTATGGATTGTCCTTGTAGAATAATTTTCTTGACATTGCGAACTGATATCGTAGAATGTGATCATTCTACTTTGATATAAACAACTGATGCACTTTAATTTTATATTAAGCGTCGTAACACTGTTAAGAAATTAGACATTATTTGCTACTACAGCTTGTAAATTTATCTATTGTGCAAAAGTAGTTGCGTAGTTGTGAGCCATATTTTTTATACTTATACTTATCATATCTAAAGAACTTCATTATGATGATTAAAGTTTGCATACAGAAATGACTCATAACGATTAAGTGTATCAATGAAACTCAATTCGGAAGCTCGCAGATCTCTTTCGACAACGGAATAAATGTTAAAGGTCGAATAAAAATTAATTTGTTGCGGATAATTACAATATTTTTTTATTATATATTTACATAAATAAAAAATATACGTAGGAAATATAAATATAGCTAGCTTGTTATTGAATAGACTGAAAGAATTATAAGACACCTTTTCCGTTTTTTTATATTTTTTTAAGAGAAACCACTTTGCACCTATACAAGAATGATCGAAAAAGAACCATTAAGGATTTGATAGAAGAAAACAATATAAACATGAATAATAATAAAAAACTTATTTTGTTGTAGATAATAGGGGAGATTGTGATATCCAGGAACACACTGTACTTTGTGACATACTAATTATTTTTTAATAATAATGAGATTTTCAATGTTAGCAATTCAGTTGTTTCATTCGAAATATAACTGAGCTATCGACACATTAAAAATCTCATTATTATTAAAAGAATTAATTAGTGTATATTAATTATTATTAAAAGAATAATTAGTGTACGTTATATTCTTGGATATTACAATCTCTTCTACTTACATATTATAAATAATACAAAAGATTGCTTTTTCTATTTATTATATGTATTATAAATCTTATAAATCTACTGCATGATCCACAATATTATTAGTGTGTAATTTTCTTCGCTGCACAGAAGAACTAATTCTAAAAATATGATGTATTTTCGATCCTGGTATAAAATCTCGAGTGGCTTACCGGTTGCATTGATGAAATTCGTGTTGTTAATGGGAATGGCAAGCACCGCATGCTCGAAGAAACCAAAGAGGAGTACATATAACGTCGATAAGTGAATGAAGTAAGAGGACAATCTCATCATGGTAATTGACACCTTTACAGCGCGTGTCAAAAGTAAAACTGGATAGCCATCATGATGCCGCGTTCGCTTTTAAACGAAAATCCGAACGGCAACCGGGAAGTCCCCTCAGATGAACAGTCGTGCATCGACAACGAACCCGTTTGGTAGTCCCTTAATTCTGTCCCCTCTTCAATATGTTCGTCACAGTGACTACAATATTGATAATGACGATGACATCGAGAAGGAGTTATATTTGTTCCGAGTATTCTACTATCGTATATTTCGAAAATTCGCACAATATCTACATCATTCTGATTGCTATCGAAACGCGGAAGAAAGAAATGCGCATGCAATAAAAAATCGAACGCAATAGATCGAATCGAACACAATCGAAATTAATGAAAATGACAAACTGAGTGAGTAATGATGCGATAAAAAATATTGTGCAAAATACTGTGAAAATAATGACATAAAAAAGAAGCGTGAGACTAAAAAGCTTTTATGTTAAAATAATTAATATGCTATTAACATTCATGTGTTTATATATTCTAAGAAATTGAAAACACAGAAAAGTGCTGAAAAAATTCATAAAATATGTAATCAAAAAATATGTAAAGGTTAAGCAATTATTACTTGTCTAGAAAAAAAAAGATCATCTTTTTTTTTAACTTAAGCTTAATATTTCTAACGCGGTTATTTATGGATTAATATTTATTTCTACCAATGCAAATTAACTTTGATTTCAATTTAATTTATTCTTTTGTCTTTTTTTTATATTTTTCTAATATTTAGAATTAGAAAAAGTAAGAGAATCTGCTTAAAATTAATCTACATTAATAAAAATGAACATGAATGTGCTGATGTCATGTTTAGAATTATTTATATATGACAGAGAAAAGAAAAAGAATTATGAAGTCTTGATGCAATATTGATTCTATTTATTATATTTATTTTTTTATTTATACAGTTTCTTACGTTTTTTTTTCTAAGCACAGTTAGCGATTACGTTATATGACGCGATTTGCACGGTTTTATCAAATGGATAGTGAATTTCCGATAAGTAATGGTATCTAGAAGTTACATAACCAATCGGTATTGCTTGATTACACAGAAAATTGATCTATTTAATGAATCGTGAATTTTTTCAATTATTTTTTCATTATTGTTATCTTGATTAAAAATTCAGAATTTTTAATAAACAACATCAGCGTACATTTTATTAAAATGTCTATGCATTTCTATATATGAATAATATTAATAACACGACATTTTTATGGACATTTGGATATTTGATGTATAATCAGCCACATAACATATTTGTCTTCTGATAAGAATGCATCGAATGATCGATGCAATTCATATAAATGGAACTACGCTATCTCAAATTCGTTCTATTGAATCTGATGTAATCTGATTCAATTTATGATTCAAATGTAAACAGTGAGATTTTTTCTAGTATTGCCCGTAATTTTACGGAAATGAAATCGTAATTGCAATAATGTGAAAATAATTGAAATAAACAAAGACAGTGTTTTACATTCGATAATGACTTTATCAATTACAATAGACAAAGTACGGTAATTCCGGCAAATATGCTGCACTAGAATTTATTCTGTTACATGTTATATTAGTATGTGATATGATTTCAATTTCTTACTGTTAATGAAATTAATTAATGAAATTATTGTGAGTTGAATTGATTTGTTACTGTATTACGTAGCGCCATCATAAATTATAATCTACATAAAATGATTACTGTAGGACGTGCAAAAGACTTAGTGATTATTTCGATTAGTGATTAGTAGAGGAATAGTAAAGCATGTTGTATAACAAAATACATGTACTTTGCTCTTGTATTCTTTGTTTAGTTTGTTGTCTTATATATTGGGTTGTCCGGAAAGTTCGTGCCAATGTTGAAGGAAAATTGAAACGCAGAAAATTTTAATTTAATAAATGTATACTAAAATTTAAATTTTAGTCGGCACGAACTTTCCGAACAATCCAATATTTCACCTGTTTGAGATATATGGTATTTTTAACGGGCGGGATTTATGCTCAAAGCATATAAAGTGCACAGATTGAATTTAGTGCACTATATATAATAAACGCATTATACCTCATCATGTCATAAGACTTGTACATGTGGAAAAATTGTAATTATTATTAATTACTTCATATACATACTTATCATTCTTATTCCTTAATAAAACT